AATTTTCTCACAAAAACGACTTCAGAAGCTTCTGTAGCGTGTTTATACGTATATTTTAAAGAAAATCTAGTTCCTACATTGTTTTTCTATGCATTCACTCGTTGGGTCCTCTAACCTGCAATATGCCCTTTAACTGAATGAGTTATTGCAATGGTTATATGACTATTTTCGGGTTGAATGATGGGCGCCCCCCCACCCCTGTTGCCTGTGAGTAGGGTTGGGTATCGGTTGAGTTTTATCCGATACCAGTACCTACTCGGTATTTTTTAAGCGGTTCCGGTGCCTTAACGGTTCTTGAAACGGTACTTAAGAAAACGAAACCGCACACACTTTGTCAAAAAAATAATACCCCTTTACATAATATCAAATAAAACAATATTATATTAAACAATGTAATTATACTGGAGATTAATAGAGATTACTACCAGGGTAATATAATATCGACATGGCTACAGGTTTCCATGTTTTGTCTGCTTTAACTAGTCATGTAGGCTAAGTTATCTTGTCATTAAGGTCTTAGCCAGTTTGATATTTCGTTCCCACTGCGTCTTATACGCAGCTTTGAGTATATGAAAGAGAACGTCTCTGTGTAACCCATGTTCTCTGAATAGGGAATGAGACACTGCGTTCGCTGCCAAATATCTCGCGCTGCCGACAAGCTTCCCTTTTCGGCAGAGAACTCTTGAGGAGCAGATGATGCGCGCGCTAATATAATATGACGACGTGAGCGTCAACGCGGCGCGAATGGTGATTCTTCTATATCCATAGACAATCGTTATTCTGACGCGTAATTTTACACGTGAAATGCAGCCAAACATTTCACGTGTACATTTCATGTGTGTTTAAATCTCCTCGCTATCAGCAGACGTTCCGGGAGTCTCCTGCATATAACGTTAACGGCTCCCGGATGATCGCAAATTAGTTCAAATCTCCCGGAATCTAGAGGGAGCGAGCAAGAGCGCGCGTGCAAGACAGATCAGACAGTGCTTCAATAAACCGTATAGTGCGCGCACGTCGGAGAGGAAGAGGGAGACAGCGAGAGACTGCATGTGTGAGCCTCATGCCACAGACTCAGGCATCGAAATCAGGCACCGAAATGTTCATTCTAATTCGGTCTGGTTACTACCGTTTACGTCAGAAACGGTTCCCTATTGGCACCGAGTTTCGGTACCCAACCCTACCTGTGAGCGGGAAAAACACACTTGCAACTTTGAACGGCGGGTCACCGGCCGCAGCATCAGGAAGTGTCGCGTGATATCAGGTCTCGCGATGTAACAAATTGCTTTATGGCAAGAAAGATCTGCTAAAATTAGCATCAAACAGAAAAAAACCTGCCGCCGTATACATGTGGCCGTGAGTGCAGAGACATCTCTGCGTGAGTGCTATTTACAGCGACTGTAGGGGTCACAGTTTGACAAAAACGGAAATCCTGCATAGTGCTGCTTTAAATATAAATGTGTAGATTCATATTACATTAAAATACATTACCTTTTAAGTTGAATTTGTCACTGTATGGTGAATGTTTGGATGATGAAGGTTCTGGAGAATAACTGCAGCTCATCACTTTACTCTTAACTAACTTTAGATTATTAAAAAACAAGTGTTCAAGGAGTGTAGAAATACACTCTGTTCCAGGTGGTTTTTGAGATTTTAGAATTTGCAGATTTTCATCTCCAATGTAAATAAAACAAGCATAACCAGTGTTATATGATCCTGGTATATGACAGTTAATTCTAAATTGACCATTTAGATAGTCATGGGTTACTGTAATGACGGGCTTCACGTCTGAAAAACAACATATTATAGAAAAGATAACATTAGTATGGAAGAACCAAAGGATTATGACAAAGCTTAGAAGAGAGCAACACTGTTCATAGAGGATGCTAAACAGTTGTGACACATTACTGTACTATATGAAACGTCTTACTCGGATTGAAAACTATTATTGTGAGAGTTAACAGTACATCAAATATAATAAGTTACAGCTGCTGAACTCAAGGGTCCATCACCATCAACAAAAGCAAGCTATTGATTGGTCGAAATGAAATAGTACAATATGTAACAAGGTGCCCATTAACAGCACTAACCATAATAGAGAAGTGATTCTCAACCTCAGCAAACTTTACACGAGATGACTTAAAATTAGTTTATTATATGAAAATAAATCTAACTTAATTCAAATACTAAAAATACAGAAAAATAAACCAATCAAGATGTATTTATTGAACAACACACCAAGTCTTGAATCCTATGGAATCACAAAATTATAGTTATTTGTATTTAATATCAACACACTCAGTTTGGGTTAATTAAAAAAATTAAAACATTTTGCAAGGTATTTCTGACAACATACGCCTAATTAATGCATGAAACTTAGAAAATGAATACTTCAACCTGCAAAGTGAATCATTCACCTAAAAATAAAATATATTTTTAATGATCACTTACTTTGAGGTTGAACCTCCAGCAAGAGTGTAAAGATGAGGAGGATGAGCAGAACCATGTCAGCGTCACATGAAAGACTGATGAACTGACACACAGACGTCCGATGCACATGGGGAAATAGGAAGTAAGAAAAACGATATAACCCAAATGTCACGATACGACACAGGCATAAATGAGAACACAAGCAAACAAAAATTCTGATGCTAAATTAAAAGTCTCAATGTATTTTCTCACAGTAGTTTATCTGAAGTGATAGTTCATTCAAAGCCACAGAACAGCATGTGTGGTTGAAGAAAAGCGTAGTAGAGGGTTTTGTAGTCGTATGTCTGAGCGGATATGGGTAGAACTCTTCACTGGCCTTCAGAAGTACTTCAGAAATCCTCAGGTACATGTGAATTAAACGTGGCACAATGGCCTTCATCATCACACTATGCTAATGGATATCCTCCAGAGCAAGGGGATTACATCAATGTGTTACGACAGTGAGATGCGAGACGAGACTGGGCGTAAAACACATCAGACCACAGGAAATGTATTGCATTGAGCAGTTTGAAGTAGATGAACGTATAGATAAAAAATACTTAACATATATATAGCCAGTATATACATGTAGCTGGATCAAGATTTTTAAGTGACTTTGATTTTGTGAGTGGAACTGAGACAGAGACAATAAAGCATGGATATAATGGTTTCATTTTAAACTACACTGTAAAAAAATATTGTTGGTTTAACTTAAAAAAATTTAGTAACCTGGTTGTTTTAAATGTTGATTGAACTGGAAAAAGTGAGTTGGTACAATGAAGGAGATTGATTTAATCATCAGAAACTCAAAATAATAAGTTATCTCAACTTAATAAATTGAAATTGTTGAAATGAAATGTTTCAACTAAATAAATTGAAATGTGATAAATCTTGAAAATATATATATTTTTTTTACAGTGTACGGGTAGGCTACACACAAATAAACTAAGCAAAGTTTATATAGAGAATAAAAAAGTAAAGAAAGAGAGAAGAGAAGGGAGTGGCAAGATTACAATCGGTTAACCACACGTACGACAAACTTAAAGAATCAGGCCAGGGTCAGCTTAAAAGGGGCACAATAACTTAAATGCATCTAAATGCTGCAAACTGATGCATGCTTTGACTTCGGTTGCTGAACAAGTCCAGATGGCACGTAGATTCTGGAGATTCTTGATGATCTTGCCAGGAGTGCGCTGAAGTGTTCGTTTGGGTTCTTCGGGGTGGTCCATTTTAAGTTAACTTGAAGAAGGAGACAGGAAGGAGACAGGAAATGTGATGTCACAAAAGAGATTTGAACTGATCAGGGAACTATTAAAGGCCTGTGGAAGAAATTTCATCTTTAAGATGTGTTTGAGCATCAGAAGAGCACACACAATCCTTATTCTAATATGGAATTGTGAAGAGTGTTGGTATGTGACAAGAGGGCTTCCACCGAAGGATATAATATAATGAACAAGTCTAAGAATGCTCCATATATGATTGAAAGCCATCATTGACCTAGAGCGATAACGTTGTGAGAGTTGAGGCTAAAACAGAGGAAGGATGCCGTCCCCTCACCGTCACACTCTCAGAGTCAGAGTCAGAGTATCTTTATTTGTCTCCCACCGGAGAAATTAGTCTTTGAATCAAGAGAAGTTGCTGCATGAGGATTACGACAAGACAAAAACACAGAAACAGTTCTGGTCTGTGTGGTCTGTGTGGCTGTATGACTGTGAGCTTTTCTTGCAAGAAAATAAACCTCAACAAAGACAATTAGTCGATTTGCCTCTTGTTCAGAATTTTGTATTTGCCACAACAGGCCCTATCCATTCAAATGTGTAAAGATGACCAGTTGAAAGTCTTTGTGCATCTTATCCCTATTTGCATGTTTATGGTGACATGGAAAATTTACAGTATGAAGTTTTTACTCAAAGGTATGGTAAAAATATTATGATGCCTTTTATCATAGCATACCATACACCATTAATTATGAAATGTAAAAAGGTTTCTTTTGATACCAAGAAAAATTGAGATTTGTAGACATTAAAGCAGTGATGCGTCATCTTTTGGAGCATTTGAAGTTACTGTAACATAAGGTTTAGGAGATTTCGGTGTTTATGAGAGCGTGATGAACAAAAGAGGAAAGGTTGTAAAAGGGAGGTTTTAAGATGTGTAGATCATTTTGATTATGTCCATTTGTTACAGATAGTTCACCTTTTATGGTTCCCCCTTTCTTTTATGAACCACAAAACGAGAATTATTTTTCAAATGTCCAGCTTGCGCTCGTTCGTATAATGGCAGTGAATAGAGACCAGAAAGCTTTTAAATAAAGACTTGAATTATCACAGAATAATCCCACGTGACACGTGTCATATTCCAAGTGTTCTGGGGGGTTTGAGGAAAAACTAACCAAAATGTAATGTACTATTAAAATACCATTGTAGTAGGGTCTACATTTTTTTTAATCACTTTTATTTAGATAAATATGACACAATAAGCCGAAAACATGAAAAGAGCTTTTACTGTAAAAAAAATGTTTTATTATTTGTGAGCATTAGTGACCGAGGGTATTCGAATAAACACAAAACAAATGTGATCATTGTCATGCGGTTGATTTGGGCAATCGTGGAACTATAATGAAATAATTAAATTTTTATAGTCTTTTAAAGGTAAAATTACAATATTTTGTTACAGTGACTATACAAACCTGACAAGTAGAGCACTATATGCCAATTTTGCTAAATTGATTGCTAACAGTAAAGTTGCATTTCAACCGTAGCATGTTATAATCAATAGTTGATTAAAAAAGTGTTACAACTTTTCTGTTTTTCATGCTTCAAATGACACTGGATCTGCATCACTGAAGTCTAGATGACTTGAAGATGCCTTCAGCAACATTTAACATACTGTACATTTTAGCAATAAAATCATTTTTTCTCAAAATCAAAATGTGTGAAAAAGCTCCAGATTCTGCCCTGGCCTGCTGATCAGTATATGAATTAAGTTATATAGTGCACATAAAGGCTATATCATTCTCTGTTCAAATCATTTTTCTCTTTAGAGGTGCAACAAGTAAAGAAATGAAACGGTTCATCCATGTTTTGAGGAGCATAACAGAGATGTTGTTTCCACATGGCAGGAGCTGTAGATCACCTCTGTGAGAGCGTCATCAGAACCTGCACAGACACACACTTTATTATATGTTTCTATATCATGGAGCTCAGCTTATGCATATGTGAACTTACTGTCAAAGGGGCAGAGACAGATGAATCCCATGAGTCCAGACAGAAATAAACCAATACCAGTGAAAACCAGCACTACTAAAAGCCATGAGCCTGTCAAAAGAAAGAATAAAGCTTCAATCCATGTTTATATCCATATCAGATTTTAAATGAACATGCCACATCATATGATCATGAATGGAGGAAATGTCAATGTTTTAGTTTTTACAGATATTTAGATAATCAGTTTTGTTTTGTGTTGTGAGTGAATGAACAACCTTCAGAGTGAATGTGATCAGTATGAGGAACAGCTGCAACAGAAAAGATCTCAGATCAAATCATATTACAATAAAAACTGATTACTTAATCATGATTACAGACATCAGTGTTTCTAGATGATCTCACTGTCAGGAAAATGATTCTTCTTATTTAATATTTAACACAGATTTTTTATTCTCATTAAGGAAAAATCCACTTAGAATATTTGATGTTTCTGACTCTGGTGGTTTCAGGCAGAACAGAAGCTGGTATGAACACAGCTGATAGAGCTGATGGAAACAGTGTGTCAGAGCGGGGTGAGATATGAAACTATTACTCTATACAGCTAGTATGTTGTAATTATACAGTTCAGCTGTAATTTTACTGTATAAATATATTTGACTGCTAATTCCTGCGACTGACAGGGAATCATAAAAAAGCTATGCAATAAACTAAGAAATAATCATTTTCAAATTTAAAGTCATTTAAATGAGCAAAATGCCTCATTGTTATGTTTTATATTCAAAGTAAACATAACTCACAAGTTTTTTTGGCAGTCAAAGTTCCACCGGTAGAGGTCGCTGTTGAAGCTGGCAAAGAGAATTCAACGATGTCAAAGGAAGCATTTAGTGTGGAAATAAAACTATATTTGGTTCTAGCATTAATACAGTAAAAACATACAAGAATAGAACTGAAAAGTGAGCTGTGCACAATATTTAATGTGATGAACATTACAGGCATGTGATCATCAGCTAAAGACAAAAGGTTGACTCGAAGCGGCGCTGCACAGATCGATTGGTGTATGACATCATCATAGTACTGAGAGAGTGATTGGAAAGCATGCGGAGCCGTCTAATCTCTAATCACTCTCAGTCTCACGGTTCTCTGACATCATTCACCGATCGGTTTGGGCAGCTCCGCTTCATGCAGATTGCAGAACACATCTAACAATGAAGTAAAACCTAACCACGCCCCTATCCCAGTGCAAATATCATTATTTTAAAAATATAAATATTTTATAGAATTAAAAAAAATATAGATTTTAAAATACTGCTTTAGACTAAATTGGCACACTTTAGTAGAAGTATACGTTTAAGTATACTATGTAACAGCCTAAACTTTAAACTTTCCCCTGTGGTGAAAATAACGTTTTTAATGTTGTTTACATAAATGTCTATGTGGTGTTTTTAAATGCTTTATAGTACGACAAAACATGTGCAATCGTTCTGCCTGAAGCAATTTTTTTGTACAAAAACTTCATCTAACTTCAAGTATAAAGGAATGCGGATGCTCATGCCTCTCAAGCATCTATTACTCCAATAAGATTTCTGTATTATAAACCAATGAAAATTCAAAAAGAGTAAAGATTTGAAGTACACTACCAGTGCCAACACAAATACACAAACAAATGTAAGTTTAAAAGATTGTATGTAAAACTATGTGGGGGGAAAAAGTATTTGGGCAACTCAAATTAAAAATGCTTAATTGTACTTTTAAGTATATCTTGATCAAAAGATCGAGAACAAGTATATGCCAAATACCTTTCTGCCAGTCAAGTATACTTCAGTGCAATATCAAGTATATTTCTGAGAAGTAAGCTACTACATAACGTATATTTCTGAGAAGTAGGATACTACATAACGTATATTTATGAGAAAAATAGACTGAAAGTAGGTCTATACTTATTAAAAATTTAAAAGATTTTTTTTAACATTGAAGCAATTTAAAGTGAAATGAACAAAATACCTCTGTAATTGTCAAGAATGTTTTATTTTCAAAATAAACATAACTCACAAGTTGTCTTGGCTGTCAAAGTTTCACCAGTAGAGGTCGCTGTTGAAGCTGTAAAATCAAATTATGCATTTAGTTTGGAAATAAAACTCGTTGAAGTAGTACTGGGATTAATATTATAGTATGACATACAATTTAACATAATATCAGAAATACTTTATGAGAATCCTCTACACATGTATTGCTCACTTGTTGTTGTTGTGGCAGTTGCAAAGGTTTGGCCAGTAGACACTATCACACACATTGGACAAATAAAAGTAGTAATTCATTTGTTTTTAAGAAAAGTGATGAAATTTTACTGTTGTATATAAATGAGTTATTTCAAAATATGCATTTAAAAATCTTACTCTGGATTGATATTGTCACTGGATCGGAGTGAGGAGATGGCACGAGAACTTGTGACTTGTTCACAGTGTAGAAGCAGGTTATTCTCACAGATGAACCTTCTGACCAAATACTGATCTGAGATCCAGTGAGTGAGAGCTGACATGATGAACTCGCTTTTGAGAAACTTTCTCTTCCATTTATGTTAAACACACACATCTCCATTTTCAGATATTCAGTATTCTCACAGCTCAGCTGAACTGTGTCTGTTTCCTCAATAACTGAAGCAGATGCTGTTAACTTGGCCTGAGGAAGACCTAATTAAGAAAAAAGAGTGCATACTCATCTGTATGACTTTTTGCAGGCCTGAATTTTGAGATTTAAAAATGTATTTATTTAAATCTAAAAAATCATGTATTTATCATTGTCTTATGTTAACCACATTTGGACATGTTTTACCTCTGCATTTTACAAATTCAGTGACCAAATTAAATAGTTTTGTTTTCTATTATGGTATAATATAATTATACCATATAATGTATGAAGTCCTCACCTCTGATGGTGTGTGTGTCACTGCGCGGTGATCTGATCTCAGTTTCAGTGTTGATGATGTAATAATCACAGCTCAGATTTCTGCTGTTCTCTGATCGTGTGAAGAGTTCACTGTGAGTTAAATAAAACACACAATGATGATATTCTCCTCCAGACGAACTCTTCTTAGAGACTCGTGTGTGCAGAAGAACATTCCCAGTGTAGAGACTACAGGTGAAAGCAGCTCTGACAGACAGTGGTATTTCACAGGCTATGATATGGACATCACTGTCACTGACACTGATGAAGGGTTTCTGAAGTGAACCTGTTTAAGTCAAATAATCCATAATTAATAAAAAGAAAACATTGCACAAAAAAAAGCAACAGCAGTGAAATCTCTTACCTAGAACCGTCACGGTGGCCGCAGGAGAATGAGATGATGGTTTATCAATCCTGTTCTCAGTTATTATGTAGAAGCAGTAAATGTCGACAGATGCTGGTGATTTTACATCTGCCCATCTGAGCACTTCAACACCAGTGAGCTCCAGTTCACATGATGGAATGACTTTAATATCCTTCTGTTCACTGTTTCTGTAGAAATGACACTGTTTCACTGTAACATTTGCTGGCGTCTCACAGGTCAACTTCACTGATCTGGACTCGCTTAGCACATCTGGAAATACTTTTACAGCAGGAGATCCTGAAACGACCAAAAACAGACAAATCAATCATTAGATCTCATTGACAATGTTTATTAATATTTACAATGTACAACAATATTCCAAAATTAATCACATATTTTCAGTTCAAAAATGTGAAAAGGACAGCTGCTAATTATTGATGTATAATTCTCTAGTAAAACAAATGTATCAGGTCGGTTGCAGTTCACATGTTTGTATGTTCATATTAAAATGTCACACACACCACACATGCTGAAATATTTTATACAATTATTATACATTTTTCTTCACTCTAAATGTGGACTTAATTTAAAAGACATTAAACAGCATAAATCACTTACTGTATGACTGAACCTCCATTAGAAGCTGAAAAGAAATGAAGATGAACAACTCCATTACAGCGACAGTGAGAAAAGAGATGAGACTCACACGATATAGGTGAATTAGGAAGTAACACATTAGACCACAGGAAACCATATAATGACCTTAGCAGTTGAAGTAGAGGAAAGTGTAGATACAAATACTACACTTACAGCCATGTGCAATGTGACATGTGTCATAGAGTGTGCATAATCATTTCTCATATAATCATTTTATGAACACTTTACAATAAGGTTCATTAGTTAACATGAACTAAGAAAGCAATATGCCTTCTATGTTAAAGACGCACATCTCCATCTTCATATATTCAGTATTCTCACAGCCTGTCTGTTTCCTCAATAACTGAAGCAGACGCTGTTAACTTGGCTGAATCTTATTAATTAAAAATACATTGAGCAGGGATGGATTTTTTTCAGTTTGTATGAATTAATCTCTATAGACAAAACAATGATATCTGGCTTGCCAAACTCATTTACGTGGCGTTTCTATGGTTTGAGACCATATTTTAAAAGCATTACCCAATGAAAGCAGCCAGAAAAGTTTGGAAATATAACAAAATAATCCATTCACGTGCAGATTTTAATTATAGATGTATAGTTTTAAAATGTATTTTTAATTGTCTCCATGCATCTGAGTCGCTATTTTCACACATATTGTGCAGTTGTGTCTTTTAGAGTGATGATTTTACTTATACATGAACAATAATTGTGAAGTAATTAATACACATATGAGAAATTGATATCACAGTGGAAAAGTTGTGGGTTGGTTGTTTATTCTATTTTTCTATTCTTTTAATTCATGCAACATCTGACTTTCTAACAATAGTCTTGCAAGCTGTGGGTCTGCAGATAAAAGCGATGAGAAGGAGATATATGCAGTGCCCTCAAACCACTGTGAGTAGTCAATCAACTACCTGAATAACTTAATAACTGTACACTACTGCTTTAAAGCAGTGTTGATCTTTCCAAATGTTTTTCAGTCAAAAGCTGTTTTTATTTCACTTTGTATGCACACAAATTGACCCTTTCTCTCATTTTATAGAGTTGCAAAGTCAGACTGCATCTAATGAATCAGATTGTTCCAATGGTTCTTGTAAATCAACAGTCTAAAAACATTCACAACCTGATTATGATGTTAGTTATTATAGTTAACTGTGCAATTATTATTAGATTATGTGTTCACACATGTTTTTTTTATTAATCAAGGGTGTGCTCATTAAAAAAATAAAAAAGTAAACTAAATCCATTTTGTAACACTTTATTTTAATTTAGAGGGCTAATTTACCTATTTTACAGATATTAATGACATAGGCCTCTCATCGCCAGTCTTTAATTTTTTCATCGTTACATTTGTCATCATTTAAAAATAGAAAGAGAGAAAAAATTCTTTATGTTCAGAGGGTGTGTGTGTATATATATATAGTATATACACATTTACAATCTCTTTAAATGACAGTTTATTTAATTATAATGATATAATTAAAGAGAAATTAAATCAGCATGAATGATTTGGCATCTGTGCCAGACTGTATAATATATGAGTGTCTACAGGATCATCCGGGATGGTGCAGTACACGTGGTACAATTTTTCCTATAGAGAACAAAGACAATAAATATATAAAATTGAAATGAAAGATACATGGTAAAAGTTAGAAGAAATTATAGGTCTCTATACTCACCTCATGTTCTTCCGAATGATTCTCATTGTCTTCATCATCTTCATCTGCCACATTACAAATACAATACCTTCATTTCAACCATTCTGACATTTGTAACTTTTAACTTCTGTACTGTAAAACATACTTTGCACAAAAGAAATACTCATAATATTCAGCACATCATTTGTATAGGATCATTTGTATTTACCTGGGCTCTGGGAAATGGTGGCTACAGTATTCATAGGACTAAACATAATAAAAGTACACATTTATTTTAATGATTTCAACAAATAAGCACCTATATAAAGCACATTAGATAATTCTTACCTCTTCTTTCTTGGTTTCTGTCCTGGTAAAATATACCATACCGATGCATTAATGTGTTGTCATGGCAATTTTGTGATTTTATTATTGCACATATTATCCTATTACGTATTTTAGTAATAATTAGAAATTAGGTATCATTCAAAAGCATAAACAGTTAAAATTCATCCTGTCAACAGCGTTTTGATGTTGCACATTGTGTTATTGCTATAATCTGCTGAGTGTTTTCTTTAAAAAGAAGTTCAGAAAGCATTCATGAATTGGGGCATTTTCACATCTATACTCAAAACTCATGTTTTAAAGCTGTTACAAATAAATGTCAGTTTACTGTTAGTTAACTTACTGGTGCAGAAGAGACATAATCCCATGAGTCCGGTCAGGGAAATCCCCCCGCTGGTGGCCGCCAGTGCCATGATCAGCCATGTTTCTTTATGTCAAAAGAAATATCGGTTGATCACCATGTGCAACATTTTCAGTTGCAGTGATTAATCGATTGGTAATACGTACTTGGTATCCTGTGGCCATCGGTTTCACCAGGATGTGACGCTTTCGCAGCTAAATAGTTAAAATAGGAAGAATAGACAAAAACAGCATCGATCAGCGAGATTTTGCCAAGTCATGTTCCTGGATTAACATATTTTGTTGATCCTGAAACAACAATCCTGTCTGATAAATTTCTAAACCTAACCCTACCCATAACGTATCATCAGAGGGAAGTAATCCATTGAAAAGCATTGAACTTAACATGTAAACTTGTACCTCAAATCTGATTGGCTGAATGGAATGTTGATATATGGAACTCCAAAATGGTTCTATTGTATATAGAACCATTTTTTTGGTAAAAGGTTCTATTGGCCAAGTACGGAACCCCAGGGTTCTATATAGAACCCAGAGGAATCCTTTTTTTAAGAGTGTATAGAACCTTTTAGGGGTTCCAAATACGTAGCGCTGATAGAACCTTTTAAGGTTCTATATAGAACCTTTTCTTCTAAGAGTGAAGGTCTTCAAATGTTGATGCAGAAACATGTTATACTTGAAGCATGTATTCATTTTGTGTATAGCCTACTCTTGCAAAAGGGTTCAATTGGGTTCCATTGCCAGAAGAACCATTTTGTATTGCCCAAAACAACTTGTTTGAAAAACATTTTAAGAACATTTTTCCACTATAAAGAAACTTTTGTGCAAAGGAAAGGTATGGATGGCAACAAATAACCTTTAATTTTAAGAGAGTATGGAAAAGAGGTTCTACATAAGGAAAAATGTCTTGAATTATTGCATAATACTTTAATTTTTAATGGGTTATTGTCATTTTTTTCTATAAGCTGCTTAATTCCTAAATTTGATTAAAATAAAAGGTCCCGCTTTATATTAGGTGTCTTTAAATATGTACTAACATTTAATTTAATCATTTGTTATGATGCACCTTTTGTGTACATAGCTTAAATGTTTTTACATTTACTTTATTATTATTATTATTATATTTTTAATAATGTCTGTAATTACACTGTTGAGCCTTACCTTACACCTTAACCCACCCTTAAACCCATTCCACAAACCTATCCCTAACCTTATCCCACCTTACTTTTTAATATAAGCACATGACCAAAGTGTCTATAAAGCGCATCACAGAACACTTTTATTTTCTTTAGAACCAAATAGTGTAAAATTCTGAAGAAAATATTATAATTCTATAGCTTTTATATTTATGTTTAAAAGCTATAATGGTGTTTTTATTATCGGGTCTGTGGTATCTAGTACATTCTACACACTGTTCCTCAATTTTTTGGGCAATACAGAAAGAAACGTATGTTTCAGATCCTCATGAACACAAAGGTGGTGCATCACTCATCAGATCCGATCAGAACTCCACCATGTGTCACGTAAGCTAGATTTTACCTTAGAAACGTTTTGGCATAATCCCTTTAAATGCTTTTAGTGTTACTGCAAAACATTTTTCAGATATTTTAAAAAAATATTTATCGAGAAACAAATATTTTTCGTACATTTTCATAAAATGATATTTTAAAAATAAAAAAGGAGCTCACCAGCCGTAGGGTTTATTGTGGTCTCGTACCAAGAAGTGTATTCTGTAGTCAGGGTTTCTGAAATATTAAGAACTTATTATTCAAAGTTATTGGTAAAAAAAATGTATAATCACAATTTATATCGAGTCACATTTAGTCTATACTTGTTGAATCACTTGTAGAGAATGTTGGTGTTGAATCTGCAGAAAACAATTAACAAGGTTAATCATCAAAATAATCACCACAAAAATAAAAATAAATTGATTTCGGATGAACTTACATACGGTTGATGCTTTTGTTGTGCTTGGTGACTGATTTTGCACTGGAAGAAAAACTATAGAGACAAAAACATACATTAAAAAAATGTAAAATGGTTGAATTAAAGCAGATCAGGCCGTGAGTGCAGAGACATCTCTGCGTGAGTGCTATTCACAGCGACTGTAGAGGTCACAGTTTGACAAAAACGGAAATCCTGCATAGTGCTGCTTTAAATATAAATGTGTAGATTCATATTCCATTAAAAGACATTACCTGTCAAGTTGAATTTGTCACTGTATGGTGAATGTTTGGATGATGAAGGTTCTGGAGAATAACTGCAGCTCATCACTTTACTCTTAACTAACTTTAGATTATTAAAAAACAAGTGTTCGAAGAGTGTAGAAATACACGGTGTTCCTCCAGGTGGTTTTTGAGATTTTAGAATTTGCAGATTTTCATCTCCAATGTAAATAAAACAAGCATAACCAGTGTTATATGATCCTGGTATATCACAGTTAATTCTAAATTGACCATTTTGATTGTCATGGGTTACTGTAATGACGGGCTTCTCGTCTGAAAAACAACATAGCAAAGATAACATTAGTATGGAAGAACCAAAGGATTATGACAATGCTTAGAAGAGAGCAACACTGTTTATAGAGGATGCTAAACAGTTGTGACACAATACTGTACTATATGAAACGTCTTACTCGGATTGAAAACTGTATTATTGTGAGAGTTATCAGCATCTGTCAGTCTGTCATATCTCAGCTGTGTTGTGTTTGAGTCTTTCTGCACTGACGCTGGAGACGCTGTCAGCCAAACCTGATCAGAGAGTCCTGTAGGAGAAACACAGAGAACCTTTAGATAACAGTACATCAAATATAAGTCACAGCAGTTGAACTCAAGGGTCCATCACCATCACCGAGAGCAAGCTAAGTATTGGTCGAAATGAAATAGTACAATATGTAACAAGGTGCCCATTGACAGCACTAACCATAATAGAGAAGTGATTCTCAACCTCAGCAAACTTTACACGAGATGACTTAAAAATATTTTATTATATGAAAAAATAAATCTAACTTAATTCAAATACTAAAAATACAGATTAATAAAGATGTATTTATTGAACAACACACCAAGTCAGAATCTTGAATTTGATTGTATTTATTAACTGTATTTAATATCAACAACACACTCAGTTTGTGTTCATAAAAAAAATGAAAACATTTTGCAAGGTATTTCTGACAACATACACTTCATGCATGAAACTAAGAAAACTAATTCTTCAACTTGTAAAGTGAATCATTCACCTAAAAATAAACCTGCGAGTCACTGAAGTGTTTATAGCAGAGGCCGAGCTCTGTGTGATGATGATGATTAGAAAAACAATCATTTATTTTTATATGTTAGTAACTTTTTCTTTTACTCCCAGAACAAAGAAATAAAAACACCTGAGGAACATGCAGCACACGGTACTTAGACATCAGTATTTATAAGTATAGGCTTTTTAAAATGAATTATACTGAAATATTATTGTTTTCCTCTCATCTCACTTTATTTATATCATCAGTACAGCTCTACATATTTTAACAGTAATTGTCGCATTTCTTGCAGTTGTTATTTTAGCTGATAATGTTTATTGTAAATGTTGGTTATGGCTAAAATCAAAAACAATATGCATACTTAAATAATGGAGAACAGAAAAATATATATATTTTTTATGATCACTTACTTTGAGGTTGAACCTCCAGCAAGAGTGTAAAGATGAGGAGGATGAGCAGAACCATGTCAGCGTCACATGAAAGACTGATAAACTGACACACAGACGTCCGATGCACATGGGGAAATAGGAAGTAAGAAAAACGATATAACCCAAATGACACGATACGACACAGGCATAAATGAGAACACAAGCAAACAAAAATTCTGATGCTAAATTAAAAGTCTCAATGTATTTTCTCACAGTAGTTTATCTGAAGTGATAGTTCATTGAAAGCCACAGAACAGCATGTGTGGTTGAAGAAAAGCGTAGAGGGTTTTGTAGTCGTATGTCTGAGCGGATATGGGTAGAACTCTTCACTGGCCTTCAGAAGTACTTCAGAAATCCTAAGGTATATGTGAATTAAATGTGGCACAATCCCTGCTCTGGGCAAGGGGATTACATCAATATGCTTATTGAGGACTGTTGGGACACGTAATAAACTTAATAATGTTTTGAAGACTGAGAATCTTTTCTTTTACCACTGATGATCTTGAACGTTTAATTGATTATATCTTTTGTTGTCTAAACGTTCAGGATAAATCCTACGTTTTCCTATCAGTTCTAAGAAAGATTTTTACCTAGAAAAACAACAACTATAATGGAGTCAAATAAATATTGTAATTACACGCCATCCTTCAACTGCCTTTTGTTCCGATTATTGGTTGCCTGTCTCACTGTCCTGTATGTCGGCAGTAAGATGTTAATTAATTGTAAAGCTGCTTTTTTTATTTAAACAAAATAAACTGGAAAAAAAATGAAGGTATCATTAGAAAACATAAGGTGACTCGTTTTACTCCACCTTGTGGTTAAAAGGTGAATTGTATGGGCCTTTAATCTTTTTTAATCTTTAAAGGACCTGTTGGGCAGTTGTTGTGGCCTAATGATATTCCCATGACATTCCCAGTTGTGGCCTAATGGTTAGAGAGTGGGACTTGTAACTTGAGTAACTGAGGTGCCGTTGAGCAAGGCACCTAACCCCCAATCGCTCCCTGTGTGTGTGCACTTGGATGGGTGAAATGCAGAGTATATATTCAGAGTATAGGCTACTTGGCTACATGTCACTTTCACATTAAGTGATGGCAGTGATGGGTAATTAGACTTAAACTGCAGATCAGAAGACCACACTTGCTTCCATTTGGACTCTGACATAGGCCAGATCGGGGCACATGTCTCCCATTTGATATGTTCCTTTTTCCTGTTTCAAGTTTTGTTGTCCTTCTGTTATTCCCCATATTTCTCCCTGATCCTTGTTACAATAACTGTTTTTACCAGAGGTTCAAATGGCATTCTGGCATACTCATACTAAGTTCTGCCTTATCCACAAGTTTCCTACGCCCCATGAGGCCTTGCGTCAAAAGTGGGCGCGACTTCCGGTTGGAAGTAAACAAAGCACGATTTGACATGCTTGACACTCGTTCATTCAACAGTTGACAGTCATTCAAGTTATAGCGATCCAAACTAGCTAACGATGTGGGAACACAACCTCAACGAAATTAAAAAAGGTGAAATAACAGTACCTTTACCCTCCACAGTAGTTGATTGGGAGTATTATAATAACATTATTAATAATCAATACTCATCAAGGCATGGTGACAGACAGTTGTGCAAGCTGACAAACAATTAAAATAAAAAATACACACTTAATCATTGTGCTTTGGAGTTTATTCAAAATTATAAATGAATGTGCTACTTGAATACATTAACTGGCACATTTGGTATTCTGTCAACACAGGCTTTGATCCTGAGTTTAGCTGTAACATCAGTAGCGAACAGCCAAACACATGCTGATAAAAGTTTATAGAATATTAAGAATTTAAACAAATGTACACAGGAAGATTCGTCGTCTTTTGGGAGGTGATGGAAACTACAGTCGTTGGCAGGAACACTCTGATTTCGTTTTAAGCTTATGTTCAAAACAATCACGTTTAAGCCACTGAACTAGTTTAGTCAGGTTATACATACAACCGCGAACAGCAACGACATCTCTCATAAAGATTTGCGTCTTTAAATAGTAAAATAATTCTCCGAAAAACAGCTAGCCTCTTCGCTAACTAACACACAAAATACCATTGGAATGCTACTTCCGCCGCCTCACCGGAAGTTTCACCCACTTTATTTTTTACAGGAGCGCCCCTCGGAAACTTGTGGATATGTAAAGAGTAAGATTTTTTTTTAAATGTAGCATAAATAACTGTACCAATACCAATAATAGATGTTTAATGATGTGTAATGAGAAAAAAAACACACCTGCATTGTCGGTCTGTCATATCATATCAGAAACAGAAAACCTTTAGATAACAATACATCAAATATAAGTTACAGCTGCTGAACACAAGTGTCCCATCTCCTCTTGCAAGAAATCAAGCTATTTATTGCTCAAACTAAAATTGTAAAATACTATGTTATAAAGGCTCATATTTTAAAACAATATGTCCATTGAGAGCAAAAGTAAACAAAAGAAAGTTGCTCTGACCACAGAGAAGTGGTTCTCAACCAGGGGCCCTCCGGGGCCTCGGCAAACTTGCAAGGAAGCCACAGGATGAAAACCACTGTAATGATGAGATGTAGTGATGAGAACAAATGGAGACTTAAAGTTCAGGGGAAACACAGAATCATTGTCGGGATAATCGCGGTAAAAAAATTCTGTATTATAAATTAGTCAAGGCTTGTACCTTGAAACCTATTTCTTTGCGTTCTCAAGCCACACACACACACAAAATATTGTTCTGATGCTAAACAGAAGGTCAGAATATACATCTTAAAGTCTCGTTATCATTTTCTTACAATCAAGTGTTGATGTCTTTCAGATCCACAGGACAGCAGTGTGGCTGAGCAGAGATGGAGCAAAGACAACTACTAGCACAGCTCTGTAAGTCACTGATTTAAAAACTGTATAATAAAAAAATAGAAAACAAAGATAACAATTTTAATGTTATGAAGTCTATTGTTATTGTGAGCCCGTTCAAAAGAACTGGGCCTAATACTTTTCCTTATGTGATGCTCTTAACTGATTGCTAAGTCCCCGTGTTCGGCAGCAGAGGTCGCTCTTATCTGACTCATATCCACAGTGATCAGATGCCCGTCTCATGCATGTCTGTACTTCTTTACTTTATTAATTACTTAACCAACAGCAAACAAAAGAACAATACAACTTTTTGTACAAATTTTTATAAACAAATTTTGTATTTTAAATCCCATGTGATCCTATGAACAGAACACTTGTTTATATGATTATTCAGCAATTAAAAAGAGACTCATTTATCTGAAAAATAATTCTCATGAGACCATTTGAACAAAACAAATTTGGATATTTCAGATATTACTTTGAAGAACAGAAAAAAAGACAAAAACGCAAAAATATCTCACTCTTAGAACAAAGGTAACTCTATTCTATAGAACCATTTATGGCAAAAAGGTTTAACAGGTTGTTTAATTCATAAAATTGAATCAAAACCAAAAGGGAATTCAAACAAAATCGGGAAGCCCTAAAAATTTCTATATATAAAACTCTTTAAGATTCTATAAACATTTTCTTTTAAGAGTAAAAGTAAAAATTAGGTGCTAAAATTATGAACATTATGGTGAGTCAAGCAAAAGAACAAAATGTGAGTGTAACAATGGCTCTTGTGCACATCAATACAACTGAACTTCACAATAATAGTATAATAATTATGCCATTATTATTGCGTAAAGGGATGCATATCCATGTTGTGTTTTTTGATTGATAGAACTTTGTGACCAATGACACAGTTTTGAAAGGCTAAGAGGCTATATGCTTTAGAAAGCAGAAGTTTAAAATGCATTTGCTATGGAGTATTAAATCATGTATAAAATTAAGACTGAGTTAAATTAGTGGGCAGAGTTGGATTCAGAGGGCCGTCAGCAGACTGTAAACATCATTGCTGTCACTGACGACGGACGGTTGAGTGACGATGGTGACATACAAGTGATTCAGTTCAACCTGGAGGAAAAGTGAGTCTTAAAATGAGGATAAATAATTGCATGCATACACATGTGCGTCTGATTCACTCACCTCGGTTTGCTTTGATTCTTCACTGTTTCCTGCTTAACAAGACACATCAGATATCAAATAATGACCATGATAGTGTGTACTTAAAATGACGGTAAGATGCAACATTTTTATTATTATTATTATTTGATCAAATATTATTTGGTAGTACTATTTCAATAGCCCACTTTCAACATTTTAGCTTTAACTACATGTCAACTAACAACTATTTTGATGCTCCTCAACAGATATTTTACTGACCATAAGTACATGCAACTTATTCAACTAACAGTCTACTTCAGTCTACTAATACTCTAATGAGAGTTATTCACATGGTTGCAAAGTTACTTACAGTGATTAGAACCAGAATGTCTAAAGTGGACCATCGAAATAAAGTGAAACCTAATGTGTCAATTGTAGCAAAAATATTTGGGAGCTTGACAAGCATTGATGTTGAACACATTTATATCAGAACAAGTGCAGATCAGAAGGTGTTTACAATACAGTAAGCATCATGAATATTATCCAGTTGAAATAGTTTGGAAATGTTCATTATTCTGGTTGGAGCTTATATTTATTAAGCAAATAATATGAAAACACAGTGCCTGCTAAAGGCAAAGGTACACTATAATCGGTTCGCTATGATTTATGTAAGTAGCCTATGTATGCTATTTACATCAAATAATACACAAAATACAATATATAATATAGAGGTGATACGTTTTTCTCTTTACCTGGTGGTTGAGCGGTGGACTCTGCTGAGTTGACGGTTGAGTATAATGCGTTCTTCTCCTCACCAGACTAAATAACAAAGATTGATCTATTAAATAGTGTCAAGTATTTAAATAATCCCATAAATGGTTGTTAATGATAGTAACACTTACTGAGTCTGAACCGGTGATTGGTAAAGTAACTCCTACAAAACAGATGACCAGATTTCAGCAAACCTTGACATTAAACTGTATTTGACTTTTATTTTGATCATGGCTTACGTTTTGAGGAGATAAGTAAAAACTTACCCTGCTTTTTACTCTTTTTTTCAATCCAAATCCTAAATTTCACAAATACATTTTGTGCACCTTACTTTCTTAAAATTTCACAAATGATTTCATATATGCACAAAATAAACTCAGAAACATCTCTACCTCTCATCCTTTGGCCTTCCTGCGATGAAGGAAACATCAAATCAGAGTGTCTACTTGACTAACCTTTTCATAGTATCTATAAGCCACATTAAAGACATGGCACTTACGTGTACATCCGTATAAACCGATGCCCATGAGTCCAGTCAGTACAATTCCTCCAGCAGTCGCAACCACAGCAATAGAGAAAAACATTTCTGTGTCAGACAAAGATATAAAAGATTAGCAAGTAATACACTGTTGCATTACTGGATTAAGTCTCAAAAAAATGCTTCATCATGGAAAAGTTAGTAAAGTTACTTACTTATATTTGAGTTGATTTCAAGGATTTCAACTACAGAAAACATTCAGAAATAATGTTTTCATAACTTAATGAGAACATTGGTAAAACGTTCTTGAAACGTTTCTGTTAGTTTGGTTACCTGACGCAGGTTCTGTAGTTTCAGCAAGTGAAGTCGATTCCAGGGATGCTGAAGATTTGTAAATAAATCAATCAAATGAGTTTTTTTGGTTACTGTAATATTATTACAGATTAAAAATGGGGACTTACCATTTGCAGGAACTGTTAAACTGCTGTCATGGGACATATCTGTAGTAACAAGATAAATATAGATGAGAATTAAAGCCAACCAATCAAAATCTTTGATAAATAATTATGAGAAAGAAAGAAGCACATACTGGTTATCGGATCTGTTGTGATTTCAGTACTGGGTGTTACAACCAATGCTATTGAAACCACAGAACAAGTTAAACATTATTAATGGACAAAATGATAAGTAATATGTTCACTCAATGAAAAAGCGTTGAGTCGGTTGTAAGGATTGTACAATGAAGGCAACTCACATGTTGTGTCCGTTGTCGATGCGTTCGACAAATTTGCTGAAATTAATGTTTTAATGATCAGTTAAGAAAGTGTCAAAATAAGAAAGATATATTGGCTATATTAGATATATATTATTGTAGGTGTTTGAATATGAATTATTACAAGTTAAATCAGAAAAGCTGGAAATTCAATTAACAATTCCACCTTCAGAGTTTCCACTGGAGATCAGTGTTGGGCTGTCATGAACTGTGATCGGTGACAAAGATGACGTGGAAACTAAACCTTATGAGATTAAAAAAGCAACAAATTTAAGGCAACCAGGAAAGTAATTTACTTTGTTAAAAATATATATATTGTTAGTGTATTGACTTTTGAATATGATTAAAGGGGCGGTTGACTGCTTTTTTTCTTTGCATGATTGTGTTCATGAGGTGCAATATAACATGTATTCGTGGTTTTTCGTTTTTAAAAAGTCTTATTTTTCATAAACTTCTGGTTCCGGTTTATGAAAACCGAGCTCCGGTCCAGATGTAAATATGCGTCGAACTGCAGTATCAGTTTGAGGCAGAATCAGACCGAGTTTATGAATGGTTTAAAATGGTTTAAAGGGGTTTTTAACTGCAAAGCGACTGAAATGCTCCTTAATGTTTTCTCATGGGACATGAACACGAATTATTACAAATTAAATCAGAAAAGCTGGAAATTCAATTAAAAATTCCACCTTCAGAGTTTCCATTGGAGATCAATGTAGTTGGGCTGTCCTCTGTGATCGGTGACAGAGATGACATGGCAGCCAAACCTTGTGAGATACAAAAACATCTGCTTGGAAAAAATAAACCACATTATCTATCTTTCTATTAAAAATAGTCGGTGATTACACAGCTTACCTCTGACCTTTACTGAGACTTTGTCAGAATGAGGTGAGGTTGTGCTATCTCCTACGCCATACACAGTAGCAGGATATGTTGACATAGTAGCAGGATATATTGTTAGTGTATTGACCCTTGAATATGATTAAGACAAGTAAAGGTTTATAAAAATGTAAAGTCAAGTGAAGAGTTCAAAAAAATATATACTTAATAATAAAAAAATTGTGCAATGGGGGAAAATTAATGGTAATCGGTTTTAATATACTGTATGTATTCTTAAAGGGTACAATAAGTCTATATGCTATTGTACTCCTAAAAGGTCACACTTTTCTGTTAGCAGATAAATATATATATATATATAGCCTAAATTCAATTTTACTGTCTTTCTCTTGAATACACGTTTTTTAGAGCCAGACTGATATATCAGCCGGCCAATATTATCGGCCGATATTAGGCATTTTCAAAAATATCGGTATCGGCAGTTATAATGGCCGATAAATTAATATTTAAAAAATTAAATAAAAACAGACGAAACACGCTTCAATCATCTCTCCTTGGCCTGTTATATTGAAAATGTATGTTTTACAATTTGCAGTATGATGTCATCTATTGCTAAATTATGGCTCATCATAGACCACAAAGCTAGCTAATGCCACTATCATCAGTGGAAGACCGCTAACGTTAACATTAATGAGTTTGGAAACCACAATGAACTTTTGCTGCCTAAATAAAGAAAAAAAGAAAAAGTATCAAATGTATCTTGTGCAGAAAAGTTAGCTTTTCTTTTACACGTGTGTGAAATCCAACAATATTTAACAAAAAAAAAATATATCGGAATATCGGATTTTAAAACCCCAAAATATTTGTATCGATATCGGCCTTCAAAATCCTTTATCGGTCGGGCTCTAACGGTTTTATACAATACTGTACATACAAAGTTCATGACAATGACGTCAACTAAAGCCTATTGGCTGTTTAAAAAAGGGGGAGGAGACAACTTCCCCTATGCCCCACCCTACTTCCTGTTTCAGTTGTAAACACGTCAACACAGGAATCAAAATGGTTTAAAGGGGTTTTTAACTGCAAAACAACTGAAATGCTCCTTAATGTTTTCTCATGGGACAAATTAAATCAGAAAAGCTGGAAATTCAATGAAAAATTCCACCTTCAGAGTTTCCATTGGAGATCAATGTAGTTGGGCTGTCCTCTGTGATCGGTGACAGAGATGACATGGCAGCCAAACCTTGTGAGATACAAAAGCATCTGCTTGGAAAAATAAACCACATTATCTATCTTTCTATTAAAAATAGTATGTATGAATACACAGCTTACCTCTGACCTTTACTGAGACTTTGTCAGAATGAGGTGAGGTTGTGTTATCTCCTATGCCATACACAGTATAGTAGCAGGATATGTTGACATGTGAACTCTCTGGATCTTGTGACCACATGATCAGTTTGATGCTGGTAAGGGTGATGTTACACAATGCACTTGGTATTTTATAGTTCTCCTGGCCTGCAGGATAGAACATGCATTCAGACACATGCTGATTCTCATGACCTCCACAGAGCATCTGCACCTTTTCTCCATTGGTGGCAAATGTAGGAAATATTGTCAGGTTGGCCTGCGGCAAACCTATAATAAAGGATGAGATACGTAAATTCACCTATGCAATAAAATATCACAATTAATTATTCATTCAAACTTCTTTAAATTCATTTTCAATTCAATTAACATAATTAATGTTAATATACATGTCCAATATGCTACTTATAACTAGACAAGACAGTTTTTATTAAATTACACTGAATTGATTTTCACATGATTTCTTGTCACAACTTTTTATCATTTCAAATCAGCTTAGAATAGATCATTAATGTGGTTCAGATAACATTATATTGGTTAAACTAATCTCCATTGAATTAACTCAAATTTTTAATTTCAATGATTCAAAACCAAAATTCAACTCAAAAATGTAAGGGTTTTTTTTTTTTTACAATGTATTGACTTGAATATGATTAAGACAACATTTAAGTACAATTTTATATATGTAAAGTCAAGTGTAGAGTTAAACAAATGTTTGTACTTCATAATACAAATTATGCAAGGCGGAAAATGAACGGAAATCATTAATATGTATTACAGGGAACGTTCTCAGAATTTTTATTTAGACATTCGTAACATTTATTAAATGTTCTATACTTTATGCTATGTTATTTGTTTCAGAAAGAACAAAGAACATTCAAAAGTAACATTCTCATAATATTTGCATAATGATAAAATAGAATTTCAAAATAATGAGAAAAAAGTGGCTTTGAACATTTTGAATATTTAGAGAACATTTTCATAACTTAAAAGGAACATATTTTTGTTAGCTGGGTTAATATTGTAAAGCATAAGAGATAACTTACCCTGTGATTTAACCTGCAGTAAAAGCTGAAAGGTGATTAAGATGAACAGGGCCATTTCACTATAAGACACTGTGAACAAACTTTCCTTTAGAAGTGAACAATAGACGCTACTCAGAAAATGTCTGAGAGGGAAGTAGGAAATGATACTTACCTCAAAATGGGTGAAATGTCTGTTCAACCTGACATTTCTGTAAAAGAATTCTGCGCTTTAAAAAATTATAAAATTATATGTAACCAATTACCATGCATTAGTCTCAGGATTACATCAAAACTGACAAAAGGATGACCGAAGTAAGAAAAGTAAAAATCAAACCGCAAAAACAGTTATTTCACATGGGCGATGATGAAGACATTTAAAAGGAAGTTTACAAGGTCACTTTCACTTTATAAGTGTTTGTTATCACCGTTGTTCTACAGAAGTGGAAAAATGAGAAGTACAATAGTACTTAAAGTTATTATGAGTCATGTTAAGATTTAATGTTACCTTCGACAATGTCTAAACAGCAAACTAGTCTAATCTAGTAGAATTTTGAATCATCAAGCTAGTCTATTTTTGCATTCAAAGTCTGATAATATGAAATGCTGGGAGGGGGAAATGGATTTATCAACTAAAATCAGCCTGAGATAAATACTGGACAATCCAAAATTATTTATAGATTTCAGAAACCACAAAAATCACACTCAGGGAGACTTTAGTGTAAGGAAAGTAATGTGTTACAATATTGTGTTACTCCCTAAAAAAGTAACTAATTATGTTATTTGGTTACTTTTTATGGAAACTCAAATATGAATGTGTAAATTTATAAAGCAATGTGTTTCATTAAAAGTAATCGGATTATGTAATGCATGTTAGTTGTTATCTCAACATTAGTGCTGAACAGTGTTGGGAGTAACGCATTACAAAAGTAATACATTACAGTAACATATTACTTTTTGCTGTAACGCAGTAGTGTAAGGCATTACTAATCAATTTTCAGTAATATTTTACTCGTTACATGTTCAGTCAGGCTTATATTACAGTTGTATTACAGTGTATTTTACTTCTTAAAGGCAACAGACTATAAAGTTTTAAAGCAGTCTTTTTGTGCCAGTTTAGAGCGGTCGTAACATTGTTTTTTCCTCATAAATGCGAACACGAAAACTAAAATGCCAACCCCTTCTCATCCGATTTGCGCAGTGTAATTAACAGAATTACAAAAAATATATTTTGCCTCCTATTTTTTTTTGTCACGCATGAATGTGTGTCTTTTCCTTAATATTAAAAATAAAACATAGACTGATATTTGTCTAATGTCTGTCCTTTAAGGAAATAGCCTATATACGTTTCAATACATGTATTTTCTGAGAATTTTTATTTCAAGTTTTGACTGCAAATGTCACGTCCATAATGCTGGAATTTTAAATAATTTATCCTCAACTAGTTTTGTGGTGTAGGTCTACGTATTTTATAATGTTAACTTCAAATAATACTAATAGCCTAATTTAAAGATAAGGCAGCATTGGATCTGGACGGTAAGGAGAATAACGCTGGAGTTGGAAGAGGTGTGTCGCGATTCTGTAGGTTCGTGGATCTGAGTTGTGTGGTGAATCGCGATTTCGGTTTCAAATTGCATATCGTTACAGCCCCAAAGTTAAGTACTACTTAGTCATTTTGGTGAAAGTAACTCAAAAGTAATACATGAGTAATGTAACGCATTACAATTCTGAGACAGTAATATTGTAAGGTAATGAATTACTTTTAAATAACAGTAACGAGTAATACCTAATGTATTACAGTTTGGAAGTAACTTGCACAACACTGGTGCTGAATAAGAATCATTGTATAAAGCCTGTGCAGACATGGTCTAGACTGCTCAAAATGTCTACTGTGACGTCTGCAAGATGCTTTTGTCCCTTTAAAAAAAAACACACATTTCATCAATAAAACCCAGCAAATATTGGCCACCAGCGCTGTTATGCAGATTTAGCATTCTGTTTTAGCTGATATTTACACATCCCATCATTCATTTTACTGACACGTTGACCAAACAATTTAGGCGTGTTGTGCGAGTGGGTCACCGATGACGTTTGCACCTGCTTGTGTCAGAGAGATACCACAGGAACAATGCAGGGCCGTTAATTTAAAGCGTTTACAGACGGGCTTTAATGGGGTCGGTGTAACAACAACCCACACCCATCGCTGTGGCCTTCAAGGCCTGAAAAGAATCCACTGCCTGGGTTCAGAGAACAAAATGGAGGTCACCTTAATGTCAGATATTAAACATCTAGGGCCTGTTTGAACAGGGGGTTTGGTGATTATATAAATCGGTCAAACGGAGAAAAGGAAATTCTTCTTTGAGCAAAGAGGATCTGCTCTGAAAGGTTGCTAGGAGTAACAAAAGTAACAGACGCAGTTTGAAATGGAAGCGCTTGCCAAACTTTCCCTCTCTTTTGTAAACAGTCACAAGGAGAATCTGAAACACTCGGTCACATTAAAAGTGTTTTTAATGATTGAAATTGTCTATTTACAGTTTTAATGGCATCTAAACTCTCCATCAGCCTTTAGAGACTTAACATACAGACAACGTCATATTTAGAACTAAAATATCAGAACGTGACAACTGAATATGCATGCTTGTAATTTATAAAATGTTTTTTTTTTTAATTTGGGAATACAATTTAAAATGTCTAAATATTCAGGATGATCAATATTCAAACCACCATGGATGATGACCTTTGAATCTTTCTCATAATTCCACATGTCATTGTATTTTATATTAATATCAACACAAATTAAATGCCCTATTATCTTCTATAGCAGTTGACAAATGCATAACTCTCTCAAAACACATTTTTAAAAATTATATTGTTGTTTTTGGTGGAATTGAGATGATATTTTCCTTGGGATTAAATCATTTGTGCATCAGATTGTTAAAAAAATATTGTAATAATAATATTTACTAGTCACATTGTATTGTTGTAGACAGTAATTATGCACTAGTTCTGGCTAAAAAGAAATTATGTACTTTACAGCAACTGTCTTGCACATCGCATTCACAAACACCTCGTGTCAGTGAAAATGCAAGATTTGGTCTAAAAAAACAGTTCAGAAAAAGGTATTTTTGGCATGACCTTGAGTCTTCATATGTGATCCAATAGTTTTATTTACTGCATGTTCAGGAAACAGATTGGTCCAAAAAAAGTAACTTATTCACATTATTTTCATCTGCAGGAGAGGATAGTGACCAATAACTCCTGGAAAAGCAGCTATAATAATGCTCTCTGTACATTAATGTGCATTTTATTGGAAAGTTTTAATAATAGATTTTTTTTTTAAAATTGCTAGATATGAAGTCAGAATTTTGAGAAATAAAGTCTCAATTGCGAGATATAAAGTTGCAATTCTGAGAAATAAAGTCTGAATTGCGAGATATAAAGTTGCAATTCTGAGAAAAAAAAGTCTCAATTGTGAGATATAAAGTCACAATTCTGAGAAATAAAGTCGTAATTGTGAGAAAAAAAGACAGAATTGAGACTTTTTATCTCACAATTCTGACTTTTTCTCACAATTCCGAGTTTACATCTCGAAATTCTGACAACTTGTCTCAGAATCGTGAGATATAAACTCTATAGATATTGCGACTCTATAGATATTGCGAAGATATTGCGACTTTATATCACGCAATTCTGACTTTATATCACGTAATTGTGACTTTTTTTATCACACAATTCGGACTTTATATCACGCACTTCTGACTTTATTTCACCCAGTTGCAACTTTCTATCACGCAATTTGGACTTTATAACACGCAATTCTGACTTTATATATCGCAATTCTGACTTTATAACACGCAATTGCGACTTTATATCACGCAATAATTCTGACTTTATATCATGCAATTTTGAGAAATAAAGTCAGAATTGCGAGATAAAAAGTCGCAATTACCTTTTTTATTTTTGGCGGAAACAAGCTTCCATAGTTAGCTGTATCCCACTGACGTAATATAGAGTGGAATTCTTTTCTTTTTCACTTTGCGAAACCGACTACTAACTAGAAATTTTATTTCATGTTGGCTTTCACAGATCCAGTGTGAATTATGTTCTATAATTTTTTCAAAACAAAAAATATCAGTGCATGGGACAAAAAAAATCCAGCACCCGGAAATTCTTCATTAATGAAAACAGTAAAAAAAATGAGAAAGCAGCACTTCTACAGTAATAGCACTACTGCCCTCTGGCTCTCCATTATGAGTCTTTTATGGAGCTAGGCTACATCAGATGAGTGTATTTACACAGCCACCGTGGTGGTAGAAGACACGGGTGTTGCGGCTCCTTCCGGTGTAACCTTAGCCAATCGGTGGTCCTTGTTTTGCGAGCAGCTCCGCCCACAGAGCTGGCAGGACGCGCAGCAGGGGTTGCAGCAGGGCAAGAATCGAAACACGCTCACTCGCCACAGGAACCAGCCGGGGGCCCAACAGCACCAGCACATGAGAACACCTCCTGCCGTCACACCCAGAACCACATACAGCGCCAGCAGAGACATGGAAGCCTGGGAATCTGGAGAAGAAAGGATTACTATTGGACTATATGAACTACAATTCCCTGTGAGATTTAAATGAATTCAGTACAAACACTTACAATTATTAAACAGACAATACCTTACAAAATAAAGCAATAAAGCATGATGTGGTGTGTATTATACTGACTGTCAGCAGCAATAGCAATATTATAAAAGACACTTTGCTCACAAAATCGTTTCATTTGTTTAATAATAGTTATCAGAATAAATAATTGTTCCACCGAGGAATATAGTTCATTAACCTAGCCTTATATTAATATTAAAAAATACATAAAATGAAATATATGTATCTGCATTTCATGCCTTATCCAATCAGACCAAAATTAACTCATTTAATTACGTATTAAATATTTGTGTATCATTTTACCTGCCTATCAACACTCTTAACAGTGTTATTTTATTAGTTATAAACTATTATAGTAATATTAATATTTATATATTTTTAAGCAAGTCAACGTTTTTCATCTATTTATATTTTATTTCAGTTTAATTTCAATTAATGAACACTATTTTTAAGTATTTGTTTGGCTTATTGTTTAATTTGGTGACTCAATTTGTTTAATTTGGTGACAATTATATCATTTTGTACAGTATAAGATTTTATAGTCCTTATAATGCCACTTTCTTTTGGTAGCTTTCTTGGTGAAATCTGTCCATCAAGTAGTGTGCCATTGTTTGAACACCTGTGGATCGGATGTGGAGGTAAATTACATCTATTTGTTCAAATGCACTAATGTGAGTAGTGGCTACTTAGCAGACTCTTGAAAAGTTACTACGAGCAGTTGATTTACAACTCACTGTTTGCAATGAACATTTATGTGCTCCTCAATTAGCTTTGTGTCCTTAGCCTTTCAGAGTTCACCATAGCAATAAAACTAAATTTATGGACACTCAAAAAGAGCCACAGTTCTGAGGAGTAGTCATTATATTTGAGTTATTGTGCATCAAACCATCTTCTTCACCCACAGATTTTTCATCTATCTTACTAAACTCATTTTTTAGGTCTAAAAAATGCACTTAAAACAGATTGGTGGATATTGTACGTTAAACCTACACCCATGTAAAACTGATTTATTGAACATTGCTGCAGCTTAAATAGACTGTTTGGTTTTGTCACTTTGGCCATCTACAATTAACCACACAGCACTCTGGGAAGCCTGTAAAACAAGATTGTAGAGTTTAATTTTAAGCAATTCTGCAAGACGGACAAAAAACAACTGACTTGTCTTAAAGGAATAGATCATTCAGAAATTATGTTTTCCAGTGTTTTACTACATTGTAAAAAAATATTGTTGGTTTAACTTAAAAAAGTAAGTAACCTGGTTGCCTTAAAATTTTAAGTTGATTGAACTGGAAAAAGTGAGTTAATACAATTAAGGAGATTAATTTAATCACCAGAAACTCAAAATAATAAGTTATCTCAACTAAATAAATTAAGTTGATTTGACAAAAGAAAAAATTCTGTGATAACAAATCTTGAAAATATTTTTTGCAATTCTACATGTTGGGAAAAAGCAACATTTAAGGTGTTATTTGATGAAAATCCTTGTTTCACCATTATAATTTTCAGTTCAAATGCACTGCACTAGTGTCTCAGCAGATTTGATGCTTTCATATTTTTATGTTAAATCTGGAGTGATGCATCTTTATGCGCCACATTTGAATCGAATGCAAGTGAGATTTGAGGACCAATTTCAGCAAATTATAACTTCAATTTCACACAAAGCTATCATATGAATTCAGAGGACTTACGAAGACTCAATATAGACGTATGGATTAGTTTTATGGTGCTTTTTGACACTTTTTGAGCTTTATGGAAAAGAGCCTTGGTTGGCATTATTTTTTTGAAATAATTTTTGTCCTGTTTCTGTTTGATTGCATGTTTTTGTTTTGTTTTTTATTGTTTTTCAGAACCACTGGAGAGCTTACCAGTCACAGAATCCAGACCAGGAATTGCTTTTGGAGTGGCACAGTTCTTTAAAGTGGACACGGTCAGTGTAGGCAAGACATTCAGCATCTGTGCCGGTTGGGTAACATGATGCTGTGGGGGCTTGGGAGTAGATAGAGGACCTGAAACACACAAAAACAAGAACAAAACCTATCAGGGACAAATCTCAAATCTTTAAATTCTTAAAATAAACTCTTTACTGACCATTGCAATCAGGATAATCGATTAAGTCACTGCCATCGCCACAGTTATCAATGCCTTTATCATCCTCACAAACCAGACTCATGGGAATACACTTCCCATTCCGACAGTTGAAGTAAGGCTGCCCGCTGCACTCTGACTGGTTAAAACCTGGAGAGACAAACAATATGAGCAGTTTCTTTAGACTTCAAGAAAAAAGTTAAACCGACTATAAGAAGTAGTGATGGGCGTTTTCAAAAGTCTGCTTCGTGAAGCTTCAAAACCTTTTGTTCCGAACCAGTGATTCAGAGTGAATATATCTAGCAAAGTCACATGATTTCAGTAAACAAGAATTTGTTTCATCATAACCGTTTCAAAATTTCAATTGTTCACCACAACGGGCAGATCTCTGTGAAATCATTGCAGAGTCTATTTATTGTAATCACAACATTTTTTCTTTTGTCAAATCAACTTAAATAATTTATTTAGTTCAGATAACGAATTATTTTGAGTTTCTGATGATTAAATTAATCTCCTTCATTGTATTAACTCACTTTTTCCACTTCAATGAACTTAAAAATTTTAAGGCAACCAGGTTACTTAATTTTTTAAGTTAAACCAACAATATTTTTTACAGTGTGGTTCTAAATGTGGAAATTACGCATTTGTATTATTCTTCTTTTTGAGCTGATTAACCAAGCTCTCCATAAAATCAAACAAAACAAGCCCTACAGTGTAATAAGATAACATATCATACAGACTTTTCATATTTAGTCAATTTGTTAACTTCATTTAATAATAGAATATTTGCAATTGGTTTGTAAAAGGTGTTTTTATGCACTGGTCTGACCAGCAGGCGTTACCAGTGTGTGGCGTTTTAAGCTCTTTGGAAAAGCAAATCATTTTGTGAATCAACTGGTTCAAATGATTCAGAACTTTGAAAAGTTTTGACTCTCCCATCACTACTGAGAAGTGGATGTACAGTAAACGCATTCTAACCCAGCCTGAATGAAGTGAAGTCTCCAACAAAGTCCACCCTTGGCTGAGTTCCTCGCGTCACAAGACGTAGAGTTAGAAATCTGCCCGTCGACAACACCGGTCGAGGAGGGCTCTTCCCACAGAGCGGTGGGCCAATTGGGGGTGCGGACTTATCCCTCCCATCGTAGAACTGGATGTAAGATCCGGCGTGGCAGGGGTCTTCTGGCCCCTCCCTGGTGGTTGGCTCCAAGCTCATGTCAGGCCGCGTCGGGCCAGATGAAGAAGACCCCCTGGGTGATTCTGGGAAGAGGGGTGGAGGGCTGTGCGGTGACACTCTTAGCAGGCTGTAGACCAGGAAGAAGCGGAAGTAGAACTGCACCTTGTCCCGGGGAGTGGCGGACTGCATGGTGAGGTGGCAGTCCGTTCCCATGGAGACAAAGTAGTACCTCCGGGACTCCTGGTGGGACTTTACGATCATACCATCCCCCTGTATCGTCAGTCCACAGAAGTCCACCACATTCACTGTTGGGAATATTTACATTCAGGGTCTTTGAGAAACTGAGATGTGCGTGTAGCTCCGAAACAAATTTTGTTTCAGTTAATTGTTACCCATGTCAGCTTTATTTGGATGAATTCAGGTTGATTGGGACACTTTTCCCCAGTCATCTCAATGGCAAAAAGTGTCCTAATTAACCTGAATTCCCCATATATGGCGATTAATATAAAATACAAATTGTTTCATAGCAGCTTAACTGTACTAAACTGGAAAATGTCACACTCTAAAAAAAATTTGGGGTCAAATATGGACAAACCCAGGCATTGGGTTACATTTTTTAATGACATTTTTAACCCACTGTTTGAGTTTGTCCATATTTGACCCAAAATTGGGTTAAAACAACACAGAATTTTTCACAGATCAATTATGCAAAATTCTTTAAATATGTGACTTATTAAAATTCTGCTGTAAAGCAGCTCTAAAAAAGACAATAGTGTAATTATTCAGTTCAGTTTAATAACTGTGTAAAGTTCATCAATTATGAAACACACTGCTCTACAGAAGGCAACAGTGTCATGAACAACATACCAGTTTAAAATGTAATCCTAAATATATCCCTCAACCCTAAACCTAACCCTGTTATCCCTAAAATCATACAGAAGAGAAATGATAGGTCAATAACACTGGTGTAGAACCCTTGTTGTAGGCATAAACTGGACATAAACGTGTCCCTAAAATCTGATTGGTTGATTGGAATGTTGTTCCAGGATCAACAAAGATATTGATCCAGGAACATGTTGCACTTGGTGAAATCGGGTGCTGCAGTCAGTTCAGTGTTAATGTTGCAAAGTGTTCCCATCCGATAGTGTCGGTGCAGTCAAATCAATAAGGTTCTTGAATATTAAATCAAATGCCTTTTAATCCCTAACTAAGCAGGCGACAGTGGCAATCAACCCAAACCCAATGTTGTGTGGGATGAAATAAAGAACACAGGGACTGAACGGAAACAGAACAAATCCAGTTCTAATCTAGAAAGACCACAAGCATGAACTGGCTTTGCATCCCCCATCTGGGGTACGAACCAAATAATAGGGAGATTTACAACCACTCCTTGGTTTATTAGCTTTGTTACCAAGGGCAACAAGTGGATCCGTGATGTCTCACTGCCAGGAATGTCCAGAGAAACCTTCAATTGGTGGAAAAGGACCAATAGCTCAAAATATTCCGTAACCATGAATCCTAAACTGAGTTTCCACAAAAATGAGCAGCAGCAGAATAGTAAGTTCCCTATAAAAGTTTTAATTGGCCAGACCAAAGCGCTCTGAGCTCCAATCACACCCGAGTTCCCATTGTAATTCCCAACTCTAGAAAAACAGCAGAGAGCATGCCAAATCTGTGGGTAATAATGACACAGATGCCACAGGCTTTTCACAGGACCAGATTCGGAGGTGTAATATTAATGTTTGGTGTCAGATCAAATAAATCATCCCTATCTATTTTCTTATAATGAAAGACAATAGATTTTTTTAATTTAAAAATGATGGCAATATAATGTGTAATAAATATGTTGTAGGCTATTTTAATATTTTTATTCTCTCTTTTCTCTTAATATAGTAAAGGATTTTGGAAGTAAACTTTAAAAAAAGATTTAAAAAAAAATACGGTAATACTTCTACAGCATTTATTAATCTTAGTTAATGTTAATTTCAACATCCGTTTATCTAATACATTAATAAAATCAACTGTTGTATGTTAAAATGTGTTAATGTAGGCTACTGTGAACTAACATGAACAGCTGGATTTTTAATTGAATATTTAATTTTAAAAGTTTGAACTTCAGAAACTTATTGAATGAAAATAAAACGGCGATGTAAACTATTAAAAGTGTTTTTAAATTCCATTTAACTTCGTTAGATTACAGTTGTGGTAAGACTAGGGTTGGGAACCGAGAACCGGTTCTTTTCCAGAACCGGTTGTGTTTTTGAAAAAATACCGGAACCGTGCAAAATTCCTAAGTTTCGGTTCCGAAAACGGTTCTGATGCCGATGCGATATCATCATGTGGGCGAAGTGCTGGGAGTAGAAGACGCCGTCTTATTCCTAAATGACAAAAACTTCACCACTGAAGTTGCGATTTGCTCTCACACGCGCTGCATTTGTCACACACAGACACACGCACGCTGCGCGCGCCGACCGCCGAGTCACTCTCTAGCCTACATTCAAATCTGTTTGCGCTGAGAGAGAGAGAGAGCAGTTGTCGATATGAAACTGCTTTACAATCACACAGTCTCAATATTTATTTGTTTCACATATTCAAATGATTTCCGTTACAGAATTAGTGAGATTATAGTTTGAATAAACATTGACGGTAGTGGTCAAAACAGATGCAGTCCGTATATTTTTTGTGTTCAGAATTTACAAAATATATACAATGAGCGAGTGCATCATAATGTTTTTTTTTCAAACCGTGTTTTTGTCTTATCTTGAATCACTACGTAAAGCCTGTAATAAGCGTTAATACTCGGACTTCTTTAGACTGGCCGGCGGATCGCAGCTGCTGCAGAGTAGCCCAATGCCTGCGTGACTCGTCATGGACATAAACAGAGAGAAGTAGCTCCGGCAACAATGTTCTTCCGCAAGACGCATGCCGTTCTGTTTATTAACTGTTAGAGCGCCGATTTATCCAGTAATGAAATAAGTAAAGTCTTTATGAATCAATCATTCAAACCGTTTTAAAAAATAATCTGTTCTACACACATATGTGTGTTAAAGCATATACTTCTGAGAGGGTATTCTTCACTGTTGGAGATACAATAAAGGAGAGGTATAAATTATTATAGAGAATGCAGAATTTTTTAATTTCCTTTATATATAATTTTTTTTTTTTTTGCAAAGATTGCTTAATAATATTTTGAGTTTGTTTACATTACCAGTCTGTTAAACTAATTTGTCATGTACTATAAGAAATAAACACAAAAAGGATTGTGGATTTTTCTCTTACTAATATTTTTAATTGAATGGGAACCGGAACCGGAACCGGAATCGTTTGGCGGAACCGGAATCGGAACCGGAACCGGAAAATTTCTCACGATTCCCAACCCTAGGTAAGACAAATTAGGCTTCATGGGACAAGCCAAATGTCAGTGAAAGCCATTGCAACTCCAGCTAGTTCAATTGCCAACACACACAAATGAATTAAGCATACGAGAAGAAACCCTAAAGCAACAAGTGTCTCAGACGAGGTAATAACGGGATAAATCTTGAGAAGTGAACACCCATCACCCTACCTGTCTCAATGGAGAGACTCTGGCGTGTCATTAAGCTGAACAGAACAAACCATCCTGACAGGTGCTGAATGCATCGCACTGCGGCCATCTCGGGTGTCCA